TGTGCAAGATGCAGTGTAAATGACAGAGCAGTCTCTCAACAAAGGAAGATAATTCACAACTTTTTGCAAATTTGGTTTTAGTTCCCCTGTTCAAACCCAAATGAATGAAAGGGATTTTTTTTTCATTATGGAATTAGTCATAAATGTCTCTATCAATGGACAATGCCATTGATAGAGGCTAAAGCAAAAAGTTGTTTTATGCTACCAAGCCATTTGAAGATTATGCTTTTTGAACTTTTCCATGATTATGGCCTATTACAGACCTAATTTAAATTTTGTGTGGGAAACAGAAAAAGAGAAATGTGATCAGATATCCAGATACAGAAGGCTCTTTATATGAACAAATATAAACACACACAGTGTCCTGATGCTAATGATTTGATCTGCTGGATTGAATCACGGTGATTGTAATGCCAAGTATAAATGTAGCCAATGTCTCACCCACCTGACTATGCAGACCAGCTGTTAGCCATCTTCACCCAGATCTTCAACAGATCACTGGAGCTGTGCAATATTCCTTACTGCTTCAAATGCTCTATCCACAGATAGTAATTCCTTACCACTGTCACCTTTTGGCTTGCTTAGTTGGGGACACTTAAAATTTGGTAATATTATTGACTTGATTGCATAGACACTACTGGTGAGAACTGAACTGAGCTGGATAGTTATTAAACTGAACTGAATCAACAGTGAACTGACTTAAACTGAAAAATTGACTTTAATATTGTCCTCTTTTTAGAGCTGCTGCACAGCAGAATTATATTTTGTTTGCATCATTGAAACATTATTTTCCTGTTTAAACTGTAAAACTGCTTTGACACAATCTGTATTGCCTAAAGCGCTATGCATACATATGTATATAATGGTGACTTGACCTGTTGCTTTAAAGTCTGTGGTCATGAAGTCATTCGAGAGCCTGGTGTTGAACCACCTGAATGACATCACTGGACCTTTGTTAGACACCCTCAGTTTACTTATTGAACAAACATGTCCATGAATGATGCAGCAAACATGGGACAGCACTACATCCTGCAACACCTGGACAAACTGTCACGGAATGCCAGGAGAAAACAAGGTAGATCCAAATGCAGTAGTTTATTAAAGTAACAAATAATCAGAACAGAACAAAAACTAGACAAAAGGTAATCCAAAACACAGGGAACAGAAAACACGATGTAACCTCGAACAATACTGCAGCAAAGACAGACAGAGTGAGCATGGTATAAATAGTGATGGGATGATGAGTAAATTACTAACAGGTGATCATGATCAGAACAGAAGGACAAGGCAAAGGACTATGGGAAACAGAGTTCAAAACATGTAACAAAGAAACAGGAAGAGCGCCCTCAAGTGGCCAGTCCAGGGCACCACAACCAGACACTGTGACACAAACTAGAGACTTAAGTTCAGCCTTCAACACCATTATTCCAAACCCCCTCCTGTCCAAGCTGACCCAGCTCTCTATGCCCACTTCCATCTGTCAGTGGATCACCAACTTCCTGAGAGACAGGCAGCAGCTAGTGAGGCTGGGAAATTCACATTTAACACCTGCACCATCAGAACTGGCACACCGAAGGATGTGTGGTCTCCCCACTACACTACTCCTACTACTACACTTCTGCAGTTCTACAGATGTACTCGCCGATCAATGAGTCTATTCTGTGCACAGTTAAATGCCTCCCAAGGCCTCTACTAAAGGGGTGGTTGATTGTGAACTTTTTGAACTTTAGTTACTGTGTAATGTTGCTGTTTGAGCATAAACAATATCTGTAAAGTTACGACGCTGAAAGTTCAATGCAATTGTCTTTTAAAGTTATGGCAGTTTAATGCCTACAGTTACAGCTGGTCGGGACTACAACGAGCTACTTCCCAGGTTGGTGACATCACAAACCCTGAAATTTACATAAACCCGTCCCCGGGAACATGCAACAAAGGGGGCGAGGCCATGTTGTGCTGCTTTAGAGAAGAGGAAGAGTTGTTGCCATGCAGTCAAAACTAGGGGTGCATGAAAAAATCCATTCATATATGAATCGCAATTCTGTCTTCTAATGATTCTAATGGATTCACAACTTTCCAAATCAATGTTCTAATCCTGTTCCTCGTGTCCCCCTGCTCTGCACACGCTCTGCATTTCTCTCTCGCCTGATTTAGATCATCAGCTCGTCAGCTCCATCAAGGACTGTGTTCCAATTATACACTTTATGTGTACAGACTATGGAAGCAAAATAATGCCATAAGTCTTTGAAACAAAAAAGCATGTTGAATAGCACTAACTGAAAAAATAATGCATTGCATTAATCGTGCTTGCATTTTAATGCCTTGTATTTCCAGGGCTTGCATTTTTAGGTCCTGAAATGTAACATAGTTGATTATTTAAGCTGTGAATATTTCAATTCAAAATATTTCACACACATTTTCATAATTAAAAATTCAATAATTCATATTCACCTTCCAGAATTCACTTCCAAAATATTAAATCCGTTTAAAAATACGATGTATAATATTCGATAGGCAAATTTCGGTCAATTTTATTTTACTTTCCAAATTCGCTTCCACAAATTCAGTGGTTAAAATTCGACAGAAAATTCGCCATTGCACATCCGGGAGCTGCAGGAATAGCAGTAGAGCACCGATGCATGATCTCCAGCTGCTGTCAGTCGCTCACCAGCAGGTGGCGCAAGCGGCTGTTGATGAAGACCAAAGCAACAGGTGGATCAAATCATTCATTCACAAAAACTGATCTGCAGAAATGGAGCAAGTGGTAAGTAGAAGTTATGATAATCAGGGCCAGTATAAACGTGGAAAAGCTGATTGTGTGTATGTTTAATTCAACATATTGCTGTTTCCTGTAGCTTACATGTAAGCAGCTTACTCTACCACAAAGATTATAAGCTATTTTACCCAACGCTGAAGTACAGAACTAACATTACATCTGAGGAAGGCATATATTGCTTTCGGTTGCTTAGTTTCCGTAACGTTGTATCATTGTGTGACGCTGTGCTGCAATACTGGGGTTCCCCCTCATACTTCACACTCCAGGATTCCCCAACCAGCATAACGCGCCTCAGTGAACTAATACAGTGATATAAAAAAGACCTCAGATCTCCGAATACTGATCTATAGATCTATACTGATCTATAGATCTATAGATCTATACTGATCTATAGAGTCAGTCAACAGTCCTACAAAGTTATCAATACCACGATTAGTTTTAACAATATGCAACCACTTTATATCAACATAAAAAAGGAGTTCAAAAGCATTTGAACTCCAAAAGCAGAGCAGAGTTTGCAAAAGCAGGGGTCAACTGGGACTAAAATGTGGCCCTTGACCAATTTTTACTTAAAAAAAACTTTCACCTTTTTTATGATCCTTTTAGGGTGTACTCACACTAGGCATGGTTGCCTTGAAACGAGGCCGAGCACTATTATCCCCCCTCCCCACTCGCCCACTGGCCTGCACTTGCACTTGCACTAAACATTCCTGGCCAGAGCACGCTTACGTCATGTACGAGATAATACACAACATGCGTACCGCGCCCGAGCCCAACTGAACTGTGCTCTGGCCCACCTCTTCCAAGCAAGCCAGGGATGGCTAAACGAACAGCGCCCGAGCACAGTAGGGAGCAATCACACTAGTCAAACGAACCGGGCACTGGGGGTCAAACGCGCTCGGGCACGGTTCAAAACGCCTAGTGTCTGAGTACACCCTTAGACATGGGCGACATTGGCGGCAAGTTGTTAGTCATGGAATCCCTGTAAGCCCCGCCCCCTTAGTTACTGTTGCTCACTCGGACAAACAAACAGAGTTGCTCACTGTCTTACAATGACAGCTGTCAGTGAAAACCTTCTCCCGAGGTGTTTCTGATAAATTTGGGACACAGACTGATCTTCAAGTGGGATTTAAATATGCCATGGAGGGATATATAAAATATATTAAAATAAATATGTAAAAATACAGATCACAATGCAAATGGGAGAATTATGTTACGGTCGTCATGATCGCAATCACAACATCCCGGACCAACACCATTCTAATACCGCAGAGTAAGATTAAATTAATTTACATTTAACCAGATTAATATGGAG